TCTTTCTTTCATTGATCCTTTCATTCATTCTTTCTTTCATTGATCCTTTCATTCATTCTTCTTTCCTTGATTGATTCATTCATTCATCCCTTCATTTATTCTTTCTTTCATTCATCCCTTCATTTATTCTTTCTTTCATTCATCCCTTTATTCATTCTTTCTTTCATTGATCCTTTCATTCATTCTTCTTTCCTTGATTGATTGATTCATTCATCCCTTCATTTATTCCTTCTTTCATTCATCCCTTCATTTATTCTTTCTTTCATTCATCCCTTTATTCATTCTTTCTTTCATTGATCCTTTCATTCATTCTTCTTTCCTTGATTGATTAATTCATTCATCCCTTCATTTATTCTTTCTTTCATTCATCCCTATCTTCATTCTTTTTTCTTTCATTGATTCCATCCTTCATTCTTTCTTTTATTCATCCCTTCATTTATTCTTTCTTTCATTGATCCTTTCATTCATTCTCTCTTTCATTGATCCTTTCATTCATTCTTCTTTCCTTGATTGATTGATTCATTCATCCCTTCATTTATTCTTTCTTTCATTCATCCCTTCATTTATTCTTTCTTTCATTCATCCCTTCATTTATTCTTTCTTTCATTCATCCCTTTATTCATTCTTTCTTTCATTGATCCTTTCATTCATTCTTCTTTCCTTGATTGATTGATTCATTCATCCCTTCATTTATTCCTTCTTTCATTCATCCCTTCATTTATTCTTTCTTTCATTCATCCCTTTATTCATTCTTTCTTTCATTGATCCTTTCATTCATTCTTCTTTCCTTGATTGATTGATTCATTCATCCCTTCATTTATTCTTTCTTTCATTCATCCCTATCTTCATTCTTTCTTTCATTGATTCCATCCTTCATTCTTTCTTTCATTCATCCCTTCATTTATTCTTTCTTTCATTGATCCTTTCATTCATTCTTTCTTTCATTGATCCTTTCATTCATTCTTCTTTCCTTGATTGATTCATTCATTCATCCCTTCATTTATTCTTTCTTTCATTCATCCCTTCATTTATTCTTTCTTTCATTCATCCCTTCCTTCATTCTTTCTTTCATTGATTCCATCCTTCATTCTTTCTTTCATTCATCCCTTTATTCATTCTTTCTTTCATTGATCCCTTCATTTATTCTTCTTTCATTGATCCCTTCATTCATTCTTCTTTCCTTGATTGATTCATTTATTCTTTCTTTCATCGATTCCTTCATTCATTCTTCTTTCATTGATCCTTTCATTCATTCTTTCTTTCATTCATTTATTTCCTTAATTATAAAGTAGTTTCCCACTTCTTTTTTTTCTGTAAAATTATCTTTTTCATTTCATTTTATTCAACACGGTCAGTGTAACATGATTAAAACAAATTACAGATAACTTTCAAGAATGTAACTTTTATTGCTTGGTGGCTATAGAATAAAACCTCATTTACCGAACCAAAAGCCGATCAGATTTTCCTCTTCCGTTAAGGAAGAGGAAAATCTGATCGGCTTTGTCTTTGCATCGATTGAAAATATTCGTTTGAAGAATCGTCTCATTTTTTCTAAATAGACATTTATCTCGCACTTTAATAAACGATTAACCTTTAATTCTACAAAAGCTATTTTATTGTTTACTACCAAGATTACCCTTCGTTACTAGGAGGGTAGCTGTTTTCAAGGAGGGTAGATGAAGTTAGATAGCTTCATTAATAAGAAGGAACTCGCTATCACAAAACATTTACAAAATCAGCACGCTCTACTCAAGACTAAATAATTCGTTTAATTTATTTATCAAGTTTTTGAAAGAATTGCACGTTAACTAATGCATTCTCTGAGAATCTGTCGATATTTCTTCTTCACTGTGAGACAATTGTTAGAAAGCTCATCTCAAAGAATATTGAGTTTGTGCGTCATTTCTTTCTTTCTTCTACCATCTTTCTCTTTCCTTTTTAAATTATTTTTTTTTTACCTCAAAGCTTTCAATTTTCTTATGTTTATCGTCTTCTCTTTTTCCCACGTTTGCCTATATTTTCTATCCCTCTATTACTTTGCTTAACTTTTCTATCCACACTTTTCTCTGCATATATATTCTCTCTCACCTTTACTCTGACTGCCTATCTGTTCTCTTAATTTCCTCTACCTATCTATTCTCTCTGACCTTTTCTATGCCTATCTATTCTCTCCCTCCTTTCCTCTGCCTATCTATTCTCTCCCTCCTTTCCTTTGCCTATCTATTTTCTTAATCCTTTCCTTTACCTTTCTATTCTCTCCATCCTTACCTCTGCCTGCCTAATCTCGCCAACTTTCCTCTGACTGTCTATTCTTTTCTTCCTTTCCTCTGCCTATCTATTCTCTCAATCCTTTCCTCTGCCTACCTATTCTCTCAGTTCTTTCCTCCGCCTGTCTATTCTCTCAATCCTTTCCTCTGCCTACCTATTCTCTCAATTCTTTCCTCTGCCTACCTATTCTCTCAATTCTTTCCTCTGCCTACCTATTCTCTCAATCCTTTCATCTGCCTACCTATTCTCTCAATTCTTTCCTCTGCCTACCTATTCTCTCAATCCTTTCCTCTCAATATCTATTCTCTCAATTCTTTCCTCTCCATATCTATTCTCTCAATCCTTTCATCTGCCTATTTTCGCCATCCTTTACTTTGACTGTCTATCAATTCTTTCCATCTTTTCCTTTGCCTATTTTCTCCATTTTCTTTTACCTGTTTATTCTCTCCGTCATTTCCTCTACCTCTCTGTTCCATCCTTACTTTCCTCTGCCTATATATTCTCTCCATCATTTCGTATGCCTATCTATTCTGTCCATCCTTTAATTTGCCTATTTAATCTCTCCATTTTCACCTACCTACTATTCTCTCCATCATTTCCTTTACCGTTCTGTTCTATACTTCCTTTTCATCTGCCTATTTATTATCTCCTTCCTTTACTCTGTCTATTCTCGCCATCCTTTACTTTGCCTATTCGTTCTATCCATCCTTTCCTCTGCCTATCTTTTCTATCCGCCTTTTCCTTTGCCTATTCTATCCATCCTTTGGCTATCGCCTTTCTTCTTGCCCCCTTTAACCTTTTCTTCCTGCTTCTTTTTCTCGCTTCCAAATCTCTTTTCTTCTTCTTTCTTTCTGCTTTCTATCTTCGTTTTTTTTATTCTTTGTTTCTTAATCGCAGTAAACTAATTTTCTAATATCTGTTTTGTATAAGTATCAGTTAAAGGAAACGCAATTAGTTTCGTATAGTTTCCGATTATCCTCCGTCTGTCTGTTCGTCTGTGATAAGACTAATAGTTTCTAATCAGCCTCCACAAGATCGCTTTCAATTCGTCGATGCAAAAAAAAAAAAAAAAAATGGCGGTTGAATGACAGATCGTTCTAACACAAAGTGACAGGGAAAACGCAAAGAAACCAACAATATGGACGCGAAACGTTTTATTTTTATCGTTAAACTATTGCATGTCAAAATCTATTTTTGATTCCTTATTCTAAGAATATATCAAGAAAATGGCGTTTTGTTTTTACATTTGTTTAATAAACACTTATTTTTCTGTGAAAAAAAATGTTGATTAAAAAAACCTGGTTAAAAAAAAAAGATAAAAAGGATCATACCACTTGCGTTGCGTAAATTTTTTATGCATTTCCCATCGTCATCAAAGATAAAGTGGTTGTGCGCGTGGTGTAATAGATAGCATCTCGGGATGAGAAATCGGGAAACCGAGTTCGATTTCCAGTCGAATTCATTACATTCACTTATGTGAAAATACCACTAGGAAACGTATGGATCGATCTTCTCACCCAGCTTTAGCTTAATTTTCATCTAGAAAAATCATTGTCATTCTCAAAAAATTGTTCGCAAAAAACGAATTATTCTTAAAATTCGAAATATGTTTTGGCTTTAAATAACCTACAATGGGTTGATAAGGCATAAAAAAAGCAAATAAACAAATTAATGAAAGGTGTAAGCCAGGACTGTGAATACTAATTTTCAAGGCGATCGATTTCTCACTACTTAAATTAGCTCTACATAATTTTCCTCAAGATTATCTTTTCCTCGTTTAAGCTTCTTGCAGTCTCTGCTTAAAAGAGTAAATATCTATTAAAGACGTCTCCTATAGAGCACAAAATGAACAAAAGAAAAACAGCTTTAAAAATACTTCTCTTCAAATTAAAAAAAAGCTCACATTCAAATAATAAAAAAACAATAACATATTTCTCAGCTTTATAATATTTTATTTTAATTTGTAGATAGGTTAGCATTGGCTCTTTAATGACATATTATTAACCCTTGTTTAGTTAGCTGATGTCAAATTTGAGTCGTATAGGACAAAAATAATGAATTACTAGATAGGTAGACATAGATGCGGTTTATATTAGAGTCAAAAAGGTAAACATAAGTGCGGTTTATATCTGAGTCTGCAAGTATCCACTGGAAGTTGGTCCTTTTTAGGGAGATATCTTACTGCTCTGCAGGTGAGGTAGTTGACATATTGTAAAACTCACCGACAGTGCAGCGGATTTGTAGAGCCCCTGTCCGTGATTGAAGTAAATGCCTTTTACATATCGGTTCCAGAGGTTAGTGTTTGATTCCAGTTAAAAGACAAGATGCCGAATGCTGTTCTTTAAGAGGCATTCGTATTTAGGATACTGACGTAACACAATTTTCTTACATTTCGAACTTCACAATTGTCGCACAGATCTTATATTTTCGATTTTGTCCCGAAAAGCAACTCTAATCTATACAGAAAGAATTTAAGAACAGTCTGAAGACTGCATTAAGATCAATACGAACAGACAATGAATTGATTGATGATTCGTTTTCTACGACTTATCAACCCATTGCAGGTTATTTAAAGCCAGAAAAAAATTAGATTGTAAGAATTTAGGTGGATTCACACTTTTACCAAGGGTATTTGTGCTTACGTGGATATAGCGAACCCAACGGGAATTGGAACTCGGCTCTCCGATTAACAATTCCGAGCCATTATTCATTACACCACTTACATATCCAAGCTTACAGTACTTGGTATTACCAAGCGGTCACCCATCTAGATACTGACCAGGCTCGACGTTGCTTAACTTCGGCGATCGTACAGGAACGGGAATGTCGCCGTAAGCCCACAATGAATTAACTTCGACAAGAATGTGTTTTCTCGCCGGATTTATTTAGCTTGTACAGCGAGATGGTTCTAAGAGAATTGGAGTACCTACCAAGATTTATTACTGACGTAGCCTTACAACACAGATTACACTGACAACACAGTGTTGATTGAAGATTAAGAATGAAAACTGTAGGAACTATAAAACAATGTAGCCAATGAAAACAAGAACAGCCAAAGATATGAGTTGGGGGTGCCAAAACTAAACAGGTACGGAAGTACAATTATCTGGGTAATGTAATAATGAAAGTAGGACACAAAAATTCGATGTCGCATAAAAATAGCGAGAGATTCAGAAGGGATTGATAAGTAGCATTAGAAACAAAGAAAAGAATGTTGGATACTTATAGCCTGTCTACTCTCCTTTTATAACAATGAACACTTAATAATTTTGTTACAGATGTATAAAAGACTTGAAGCAACTATAATGTGGTACGACCAACGAATACTGAAAATATCATGAACGGAACATGCAACAAATAAGGAAGTTCGGATAAGAATATGAACTACAAATAAGCTGTTGATAACAACCGGAAAGAGACAACTGACATTTCTGGGATGCATAAAGCAATGCCGATCTTAGTAGTAAAAGTGAGACAATTTCGTCATATATTAGGCAAAAATATGGAGCGAGGGTGATGTTCAGTATATCGTGGACAGAGCATTTTACAAATAAAGAAATTATCAGAATAGGAGCTACAAAGAAGTTGTTACGAACAAAAAGAAAATGACTGCTGAAAACTTTTGGTAAACATAATGAGGAAAAAAGGCTTGGAGAATTTAATAGTCGTAGGATGTATGAAACAAAAGAGCAAAGGAAAGCAGAGAATAAGTTGACAAATATGACTAAATGGATAGAAGAGCAAATGTTACAAAGGGAGTTTTGTAAAGGTGCATTGCTGAGAACAAATAAAGAGAGGAAGCTGTGGAGCACTATAATCGTTCACTTGCGAAGGGAATATGAAGAGAGAAAAGGAAATGGGAAATATTGGTAAGGCTTCAGCTTTTTTTCTTTTTTGAACCTGTTCACTGATTTTATTTCTACTCCTCTAGCATTTTTTTAAACTAACCATAGTTTTAGTATCCATTTTATTTTATTCGCTAAGAAAAATAAAAAATTCTGGTATGAAGGAAAAATATGACGAGTAAATATTGGATTTTTTTAAAACTCGAATTTGTTTTTGTTTTTGGAATTTCAATATTTAAACTACACGTCAAGCACTAAAATTATTGCGAATAGGATTTTCATTGGTTAGAAATTAATGTAAGCGCTATTGACCAATAGAATGGGATATATATATATATACTGAATATATTGACATTGCATTTGAATATTAGAAAATTATAGCTATCAGGGAAACAAGTGATAGGGAGTTCCACTGATGGGAGGTGCGAGTTAGTAAGCTATTGGAGCAGAAGAGATGGCTACATTTAGCCGTTTCAACAGTGAAAGGGTGGGAACGAGATGCCAACCTAGTATTTATAATAATTATAATAAAAATATAATATCTATGATAGTAATAAAATAAACAATTAAAAATAGATTCATGCGGGACAGCTCTGTTTGCAAGCTATGAAAATTATATTCAGAAAAAGATTTGAGGGTGTCTGTGTTTGTTTGTTTGCCTGTCTGTGTGATATCTTTTCACTCGAGATCCATCCAACCGATTTTTTAGCGTAAAAATCGATAATTTTTAAAAATCAATAATTGATAAAGCCGATCAAAAATTGATAAATTCAACTTTTTTCCTCAAACTCGGTATGTAGGTTACTTACATCATGACGAGCTGAACGATACCTCATTTTTATTTCTATGCTATTGCGTTTAGCGAAAAAACGAAAAATCGATTTCAACACAAATTTTAAACTAAAAACTTCCTCAATTTTTTAACAATCTAATACAAACTTCACTCAATTATAGCCAACAATGAATTGATTGTTTAAGAGTCATTTAACTTGATAATTGTGTTCACTCATATAGTGAAAACCCGTGTAAATTGCAAAAATGGCGATTTTTACTGGTTTCTTAATATTTTTCATTGATCTTTCAACCAATTTTCGTCAAACTTAATTGATTTATAAATGTATCCTTTTTTTTTACATCTCTGGTAGCACACTGACAAATTGAATTTCAAAAACTCCACAATAATTGTGCTCCGAAGTGGGTATTCATGTTTTACCCTTCATGTCCTCGGTTAACTTCGATTGGATAAATACAGACTACTTCTGTTATATACGTTAATTCAAAATGTTTTTTAATGAAAGTACTTTAAAGTAATTGAAGATGATAGACTATGTTACATCTAAATATGACACTGTTTTTCTCCTTCTAATTGAACACTTTTTCTGATCGACCAGCTGGGTATGGCCGCTAGTTGTAATTAAACCAATTATTTCTTTCATATTCTTCCTTTTTATCTATTTTAAGTTGGAATTTTTTCGACTATATTTTTGTCTTGCTTTCTTTCAAACAATTTTTTTTTTTATTTTGAAATTTTATTTGTTTGTTTTGGCAAATGTTTTATTAAATGTCAACACCCTGTTTCATTTCTATCAGAAATTCCTCTGATATAGAAACACGTGTTTTGGAAGCCAAAAAAAGAAAATGTCTAAGAAAGAAAATGAAAAAGAATTAAACTCGACTAAAGTTTAAACTTTAAGAATGATAAAGTAAAGATAAGAAATAAGGATACATATTTAATATAGATATACACATAGGTAAGTCAATAAGTTTGTATACTAATGATGAAAAATAGCTCTTGTTTTCCGTAATAAATACTGATGTCTTTAAAACATAATTTCCTTCATTGTCAATGCACATAATTCACTGGTGAATTTTAATTATATATATATATATCGAACATTATACAACGAAATTTTCAGATCACTATTCAGTCCATAAGTATGTGTCAGGCTATGGATTTATTGATCCAGCACCGTGCATGCAACTATTACAATTATTAGTTAACGGAACGACTTATGTCTAGTTGCTTACTGAGATAGACGTGAATTTCTCACTCACGTCGATCGTTGATTTCCGATCTCACGTAACAGCGATGATTTCGATGACAGGTTGGCTCCCCATAGTCAGCGCAACACAATCTTCTTACCGCCATTTCTTCCATATAAGTTTTGCAAATTTATTGAACAGAGATCTCTGCGCTTGTTCAGAGCGTCATTACATTCACGGAATCATTGCTAATAATTTGGCACGCTCAAATCACCGTGCTGATAACAAATATGGCGCCAGTTTGTTTACATTGCGCAGATCAGTACGAAAATGCCAGTGATTGCGCAGGTCAGTGTTGCCAACATAGTGTGAACATTTTGTGTGAATTGATTGGACGGTTTTTGAAATATTAGAAAAAAGTTATTTCGATAATAATTTGGCACGCAGTGTATATGATAATAAGAATAAGATTAGTTTAAGAGATTTACTATGACATCGCATCTTGTGGTATATTGCGTATTGCCTCTGACACGCGTCCATTCTACCACGCACCTGTAAAAATATAAATAATATTAAAAAAACAGCTATGAAACAGAGCATTTTCCAGTATAATAGAGAAAGAAACAAAGCCATTTGTGAAAATTCACATTAGCGTAATCCTTTATCATTTAGTACGAAGCTACATCTAAAGACAATTTTGAAATTACACAGTAGAAACAACAGGGTGGCGCAGACTACGTGTGCGTATGGTATAACGAATAGCTTGCCGTTTACTCGAGTGACAGGGAGCAATGAGGTCTTTCGAATCGCAGGGAGCAACGAGGGCAGACGTATGAACGTTCCACTCAGCGATTGCACTATTGAGGAATAATAAGGGTTTTTTTGTGGGCAGATGGAGTCGAACCTGTGGAGATCTATCGCAGTATGGAGCACGCGCCATGAATCGACGAAATGTGTAGGAGTATGTAGAACGCTTTAAAGCGGGAAGAGCAAAAGTAAGAGACGAAAAGCCGATCTGGTCACCCATTAACAATCGCAGACGGAAGAACACATCCAGAGGGTGGATCTCTTGGTTAGAGGATGTCGAATAACGTTAGCATATGTGGTGGCAATCGTGGGCATCAGCTATGGTTTTGCGCAAACCATTGTGTATGTTCACAGCCAAGAATAGCAAGAGAACCGACTGTTGGACAAATGGAGGATCGGATTATTCTAAAATGAGAAAACAAAAAAGAAGAGAGAAATAACAGCAATAACATTTTTAAGGGACAATCAAAAGTAAGACTACATAGATACAAAGAGGGCAAGTGAAAAGATAAACTAAATCATTAAAGTACCTACTATATTATTATATTCAACAGATTTATACCTGTCTTTTATTTATCCAGCAGATATACATACCGTTCTTTAAAGAATCGTGTTAATGAAAAAAAAATTATATTCTCTGTAAGAACTGTTCGTGATGCTATTCTTTTTTTTAATGGAATTGGCCGAAAGATGGCAGTGTAACAAAACAGTAAAAATGTTGTTCAATGAAGTTCATGTTAGAAATTAACAAAAGGTATTTTGTTTTTGCTTCATAAATCCAACGAACTTTTAAGATAAACCGTTTACCGTAGTTCTGCGCAAGACTAAATGTCATTAAGAAGTGGTCGGAGGAGAAATTCCGGCATAAAGATTATGTTGCGCCAATCTTCATCGAAAAATGAAAAAAGTTTGCCTGCCTTGAAAATGAGCATTCGAATCTTGTTTTTTTTTGTTTTTTTTTTTTTATCCGCACAACGATTATTAGTTTTGGAAACTAATGAAAGATCATACCCCTTGATGCAAGTTAAAAAAAAAGATAATTATTCAAAATATCAAAATGTGCAAAAATTTAAATGTGTATCTATATTTGTGCCCAAATGCTCGCATACGTTGGTTGGTTGATTTTGTTTAGCGGCATATCAACACCTCTATTTACTTAATGCCCAAATCTAATTATTTCGAACAATTTTATGG